CGAACTCGTAAACAGCGCTGCGGAGTGCCAAGGAGCGAGGCGCGTTGGCGGGGGCTCGGTGACCCCGCGGGCGCACTCCCCTGGCGCCTGCCGCCCGGCCTTTCCCAGCGTGCCCCCAAGCCCCTCTTTCCCCGGCGTCCGCACCCGGCTACAAGCGCGGTCCCAGTCCCCGGTAAATTGGGGGGGGGGGTTTCCAGGCTCCCCTCCCGGCTCCTCCCCACACCCCACCCCCGCCAGGCACTTGGGCCGAGGCTTCAAAGCCGCCTCTCATCTGGACTTCATTTTTACTGCCTCTCAGTCCCCAGCTTTTTATTACCGCTCTGGAAAGGGGTTCCAGGGCCCCAGGCCTGGCATCTCCCATTTCACAGAGAGGGGAAGATGGGTATTTGGGGACCCAGTAGTCGTGCTCCCCCAGCCGTTGCTACCTACAAGCCACCCCCAACCATACACAGACTTTGCTTTAAACTTTTCGCTTCCTACTGAAGTTGTGTTGGAGCCATAGGAAAAAATCATCTCTCTGCACACAACCCTATACACATTTCCAAACATTTCTTTTTAAAATGGGGGAGGGGGGCCGGAGCCCAGCCTTCGCCTGGTTGTGTGCACCACCCCTTCCACCCAGCAAGGAGAACACACAGGATGCACGCTGAAACACAGCACTTTCCAAATCCGCCCCCGCAGCCACGCAGGGGCACACGCCCTCCCGGCCTCACGCCACAAACATCCCCACACAGGGCCATGCGGGACCTGCCAACGCTGTCGGAGGGCGACACTGCGTGGAGAGACCCCTTCGCCCACACCCACACCACCTAGGCAAGACGCTGCACACTCCTGGAATTCACACGAAAATAATATTTTTTATACTCCCAACTTCCCACAAGTACTTTAAAAACGCCACCCACGGTCCTGGGTTCCATATCCTTCCAGGGCCACGGACCTGCGGGCACAAACTACCGACACACCTCGGTCTCTACCTATCCCCGGGAATTCTGGAGTAGCATCAACCAGAGCCTAGCTAAACACCCAACATAAAAACCATACACACTCCAAACACTACTGCACACACCCAAAGGAGTCGCTGAGATCCCCACGTTTAAAGGGCCAGTACCTCTCTTTCCTACACACTCGCCCCTCGCATAGAAAGTCAGAATCTGCTTGCACCCCATTTCTACGTTTTACACATGATAAGAGTGAGCCACTGCCTCTCCTGCACCCCACACCCCATCCCTGGACTCGGATACCTACATTGCAGACTGGCGGGTTGCGGCCAGGCAAAAGACTCAAGTCCGGCGAAACAGGAGCTGCCGGTGGCTCTGCGCAGCAAGCCGGCCCCGGGCCCGACCGCGCCGTACAGCCGTCGCGGACCCGGGGCAAACGTTTCCATGCAGTCGTACATCGCGACCCGGCTTGGAGGGAAGCTGGGTGCTAGGAACACCAAGGACCCGCGGCCGATTCCCCCTCCTCCCCCAGCGGCGCCCCGCTCCTGAAGGGGGGGAGGGGGAGGGCTAGCATAGGGCGCCGGGCTGCATGGGGGGTATGGGGTGGGCGGGGAAGAGGGGGATCCCCAGCAGGGGAAAGGGACTGGGCGGGGCACAAAGCTGGGGAAGCAGCTTCTGCAGCAGTCCGGCTCACTCTGGGCGCCTCCGCAGCTAGCACTGGGGAGACCTTTTGTAAAGGCGAGGCCCGGAGGGGTGGGGGGTGGGGCTTGGAGAGTGAAGGGGGCCGGGCACCAAGATGAGCAGAGCTAGGAGTGGGGCGCACACACATACACATATACACATTCGCACCGCGGCGCGCTTGCTTGCTTAGACACACATCCGTGCTTGCATTTATCTTGGCTGGCACCACGATTTGCAAATATGCAATGGTGCACATGCACATCTGCACGCACATAAGATCATAGATAGAAACACGTTTGTGCAAGCACACCTGGCTTGCAACAATGTTTGCAAGCATTCTCCACACCGGGAGGCTTTTTGCACGCATTTGCACTTAGTCGCATC